CATCCATCCATCCATCCATCCATCCATCCATCCATCCATCCATCCATCAGCTTGTGGGGGTAGCAGCTTCAGTAGAGTTGGTGGAGTCCAACCCTCACAGGAAACGAATCCGACTTACTGTAATTTATTCAACCAGCAATGTAAAATACAGTTTTTCAACCACACATTAACTTAAATTTTAAATTAATTGACCCTTGAGTTAGCACAAGAAAATGAAATAAGAATACAGTTTGCTTGTCTTAACTCTAGTTCATTTTACAGCTTAACAAATGTCTGTATAACAAAAGTTTGTTAATATTATTTACCAATGTACCCCTGATATGCATGTTATGCCATATGTCTAAGGCACTGTTTGATGGTGCAAACAGAGCTCTGCATTGTTATTGGGGCTGTTCTTAAGTTTCATGCCAGATATAACCCTGATATCATTAAAAAGAAATTTCCCCCTTTGATGAAATCCTTTGAGTTAACGTGATCATTGATGGGTGCATGCAGCGGTACATCAAATATATCTGTACAGTTTGAATGTTTCGTTATTATTCCATCCAGTGTTTAGACATGCTTGAACAAGTCCCACTTCTGTGTCATCTATCTTACGTAGTGTGGCTGCATCCGGTAAAACATGTTTCACTTGGGAGATTTTGCACTTTTCTTTTTAAAACATAAACTTAATCCTATGATCCCATGTGGTCTGTCTCATGGGGAGCACTTGTTTTTATTATTATTATTATTTTTTTTTTTATCATGTTATGTATCTTAATTTTTTGGTATTTAATTTTCAAGGTTTTCCAGAAAAACTAAATGGGACTTAGCCAGTTAAAGAGATTCTAACTGTATAGTTCTATGGGTTACCCCTCTGCACATTCTTTGTTATCATGCTGATTTAACTCCAGCAATTTATGTTGACAAATCCCTTAATACACATTTAGAACATGGACCCGAAGGCAAGAGCTAATTAGCAGCAGGAGTGCTTTAAAAGGACATACATGAACAAAATGTTGTGTGGTCACTCGAAGCACTGTTTTGCAAATAAAGCAAAACTTCAATGGGTTTGTGATTACAAACGGAGAGAATCTGTGTTTCCGGATGACCTCAGATATGGTCCAGCTGGCCAAGGTCAGCATCCTGTGACTTTACTCCAACTTCCTTTTTGACACCTAAGTTAGGACAAGAAAAACATTTATTCTCTTGAAGTCAGACAAATTGCGTGTCGTTAAAGCTGCCATCTGCTTGTGCTCAGGAAGAGGAAAAGGATTTATGTAATGGTAACTATTAGGCTTGTATCTATTCTGGGTGTCTGGGAGTTCCTCTCCATGATCTTACAGCGCATTTATGGAGATAAGATGTTGCCTGTTTATCTGGCCTTCCTGGCTTTGTATCAATTAGTGTGTAATGTGTGTTCATTTTTGTGGCTCATAATTTGATGTTCATATATCCTGCCCAACAGACCTTCAATATTTTCTATTACTATGTATGTACACAGGTTCTTTAAGGAGCTGGAGGAGAGACATCACCAGAACATTGTCATAGATGATATCAGCGACATTGTTTGCAGGCACACTGAGTCAAACTTCGACCCATATGTCACGTACTGCTCCAACGAGGTCTATCAGCAAAGGACTCTGCAAAGGCTTCTGTGAGTGACCAAGCAAACGTACTAAAACAGATTTGATTGCATGCTGGATCAACTTTATCAACAGTACTCTAAATCTGTTTGTTTTGTTTTTAGTGGTTCTAGGAATACAGTATTTAAGGAGGTGCTAACCAAGTTAGAGGGCCACCCAGACTGCAGGAACCTCCCCATGATCTCCTTCCTCATCCTGCCCATGCAGAGGATCACTCGTCTGCCTCTGCTCATGGATGTGAGTGAAATGAAGGCGAACAGTAGCTCAGGCTGAGGAATTACAAGACTTTGAGTGTTGCGTAACACTTTGTTTATTTGACTCTGCGCTAGGCGCGTTCTAACCACAGAGGCACTGTGTGACCTCACATCATTCTTTAATAATCCACAATGATTTAGCTCCACTTTCCATCCTTTCATTTGTTTTTTTCTCTTCTTAGTCACTTGCTTGTTTCTTTTGGCAACCAAATGTTTCATCTTAATGCATCCCCCCTTCTTTCTTTTTCTCATAACTATTTTATTCTCCTTCTTTCAGAGAATCCTATTGGGACTTTGGGGTTTATGCTTGTACTATGAGAGAATTTGAGTTCCTGAGAAAGTTTTATTTCAGTTTATTTCTTCCCACTGTGCTCATATAATGTTTTTTTTGCTTTTTTTTTTTTTTTTTGCTTTTCTCTTGTCAAGCCTTAATGTTTTCATTCAACAAACAATGTTTATAACTCAAATATACCTAGAGTAAAGAGAAAAACATCTGTCCAAACCAAACTTTAAACATTTTTGAAAACAAAGGAAACAAGTAAAACAAGCACATTTATAAGTAGCAACATTTATTTTTCAGTCATATAGAACATTTTAGGCAAATTCTTCTTTGCAGAATTGTTTCAGACAGATTATTGGGAATTTGTGGATAAAACAAGACTGTTTAAGGACATTCAGTTTGAATCAAGTCCAAACCTGGCCACTTTACCCTTTTTCCTTTTGTTTTTTTTTTTTGTTTTTTTTCCCGGTTTGGTCTTTGGGTGGACTTCTATGAGTATAGATTGTTGTTCTCTTCATAACCCAAACATGTTTGAGCTTAAGGTCACAAACCAATGGCTGGAGATACTGATTTTTTAATACAGAAAATAAATTATAATCTATCACCTATATCAAGTCATCCATAGCTTTGACAAGAGGCCCCAGAACATAGAAATACAACAACTGTGTAACTTCCAGAGCACATATTTATTATTTTATGTCTCTGCAAATCAATTTTATTTCTCAGCCCAACCTAAAAGAGTATTTTCTAAATTTACCTATGAAGCCCGCTTCTATTTATATGTTTTTCCAGATTATTTTGTGAATTTTTATTGTTCTGCTGAAGTACTGTATCTTTAGTTGGGCACCCACTCATTCATAGTCAACACAATTGGAGGCTTTCTCTATGTGTGGATTATTGTGCTCTTAAGATTTAGGGAACTTTTATGTTAGAACTGTCTTCTCTGCTTTAAACAAACCAGACTGAATTCATAGATTTTGTAACCCTTTTTTTAGACATGTTAATGTTGCTGTATATATTTTCCCTTATTGAAGAAATCATTTGACAACTTTTATCATTCTTGATGCAATTTTCTTTTATATCATCCGTTTTATAGAATAAATTCTTACATTTCTTTAGCTTGGGTAAAGAAGGTATTCATTTTTGATGGCACCAATCAGGCCAAGGTGTGGCTAATGAAATTGTGAGTTTTTCGAACATTTTGGAAATTCAGTTGGTTTATTATTAAAAAAGAAAAGATAATTACTTTTTAAATGAAGTTTAGGATAGTTTCTATGTTCTTTCTGCCTGCCTTTTTAACTGCCTATTTACTGATGCTGTTTTTTTGGGGGGGGGGGTTAGGTTTCATCATTAGTTTTACAATCTAATATACTTCAAAAAAAGCCAATACTCAGAACTCAGTGAGGGAGATTTTTGTTGCATTCTGTGTGAGTTTATTGGCAGGAATGGATTCGGCCACCAAGTTTGGTTCTTTAATGTGAAACTTGTGTGTCTTAAATCTGTTTTGCAGACCATCTGTCAAAAGACCTTAAAAGACTCAGCACACTATGAATCATGCAAGAAAGCACTGCAGGCTGTGAGCAAGGTTGGTGTTTTCTTTTTTACTTGTTTAAAATCTTAAAACATTTAAAAAGCTGCGCTTCTCCTTCTTTCTTTAACTTTAACTCCCTCTTCCCACAGGGATGTTATTTACTGTACAACAAAAATTGTGCTTTAAAAGTTTATTATCTCCACAGATTTAGTCTAAGCGTACATTAGCATTCATTAATCTGTTTCTCTCTTGTTTTACCAGGAATATTTTGGTCTTTGGCTTATTAAATGATGTAAAATTAACCTGATTTGGTCCTGTATAGTAATTATGTAATTTTGTATATCCCAAAAATAAATTATGCTAATGGATGATCAACAGATGAAGAAGAAAGATAAATTACTTCCTGTGGCTTCTGATCAGGAAATGATTGCAAACAAGTAAAGCGACAGCATTGAAACGCTTGACTTCTTTAATGCTATTAAATCAAAACAAAGTAGATCTAATAAAAATAAATAACATTAATCAATTTTATTTATTTAAAACATATTACTGCAAGAAAAATAGAAAATATTGTTACATTGAGGCATGATTGGAAGAGTTTAAGTACCTTTTAAAAATAACAGCCTTATGCGTGTAATTAATCTTTAAACTGTGTTTCACTTGGTGACTCAATTCACTTAAATAGATTAAATTAATAAAGTTTATATATAGACTCACACCAATTTTTCAACTGCATGCTCATTACAGAGATGTTCTATTTAAGTTAACATAATTAATAGTACTGGTGCATCCCAGGGTTTTACACCTTTCCTGTCTCGGTTTATTGCAACTTGAAATATTTTCAAACAGTTAGTTTTTTATTTTGTAAATAAGGTAGTAAAGGTAGTGTTCTTAAAAGCAACTGATTTGTAATACTTAAAAAAATGGTTTCCTCTGTTCTCCATACAGCTGATTTATATCCAGTCAAGCTATTTATGCATCTTTTTAAATATGCTTGAAATACCTTATTTTTGTCAGGATCCAGTATGTATTTTCTAAATGACATTTTTATTCTGTGAGCAGGTTGTGCGGAAGTGCAATGAGGGAGCTCGCAAAATGGAGAGAACAGAGATGATGTACACCATCAATTCTCAGCTGGATTTCAAGATTAAGGTATGAAAACAACGGATAACCACTTCTCACTTTTAGAGATTAGTAAATTAAGTGAAACCAGACTGTGATGATCCCAAGTAAAAATCAAAATGCACACAAACATTTTACTGCTTTCTTTTTTGGTATTATTCAGTGTTATTAGGATTCCTATTTATGTAACATGTATAAGTATGGTTTACCTTCGCTACACCTTAATTTATATTTTGAATCCAAATTTACATAAGGGGAACACAAGATAATGCAGTTTCATGAACATATGCAGTTGTAGCAATGTAAAGAATGCATGCAACTGTCTCCCAGCTGGCAATAATCTTTACACTCTAAACACACAGGGCTTGGCAGGCTCATTCAGTATGCGTCTAACTAGCGTGGGAAATAGCTGTTCGAACATTTGGGACTTACTGATGTCTCAGTTTTGATCGCTTATCACTTTTGTGTATGTAGCACAGAAGTTTTGTAATTAATTGCATTTTATAAGATTTGTTGTTTGACCTGTTTTTGTTTTTTTCTTCTGTCCTTCAGTCTTTCCCGCTGGTCTCATCCTCCAGGTGGTTGGTAAAAAGAGGTGAGCTGACTGAATTTGCAGAAGACGCGGGGCTCTTCACAAAGAGGAAATCCCGACAGCAGGTCTATTTCTTCCTCTTCAATGATGTGCTCATCATCACCAAAAAAAAAGGGTAAGTTAGTGAGCTTGCACCCCCACAGATCTTTTGGATATAGAGTGTTTTATTTGCTGTAATTGCGATCTGAGACAAATGTAAAATGTGCTCATCATTGTGCTGACAGAGAGCTGGTCAGGGTGTCCCCATAACCATTTGGTTTTGTCTGCTTGTGAACAAAAAGCTCAAAAAGTGTGCAGTGCTTGTCTGTTAATCACTTCAGTTGTCATGTTTGAACATGTTGAGGGAAAACCCTTTGGAAAGAAAATTTGGCTTCGGAGCATACAGGTGAAAAAAAAACTTCTTTTGTTTTCTTTTTTGCCTATCTAGTGATTGGAAGTATTCTTTTACATATATAGACCAATACCATAACTTAGTAGCCTACTTATTAGAGCTACTTTGCAAAGTGGTTCTTTTGGAGGTTTATAAAATCCTTCAATTCTATAAAGCTTTTACTTTGATATGATAAACTAAAACTAAATTGCTGAAATATTTAAAATTTAAACTGACTGCATTCGAAAAACAAAAAAACAAAAAAAAATTTCTTGATTTTTTTTATGTAAGATGTTTTCCTTTTGGTTTTTGCTACATTTTCAGTGTTAAAATTACTCTACAACATTAAAGGGAGTGAAATTTTTTTTATGCATTTCAAAAATCTCCATGCCAAGACATGGACGGTGAAGAAGGTTCAGGCAAAACTCTCTGGATTTTCAGTACCTTGATGTTTTTGCATGTGCAGCTTAGTGTGCAACTAAACTGGAAACCTACCCTGCTTGTCAGATTTGTGAGATAAGAGATATGAAATGTAAATGGAGCCACATCCCAAACTATTGACTTACGTAATGGAAAAATCTGAAGGTAGATGTCTTATCGTTTAAGGAGCTTTTTTTCTCCCAGGACATAAATGTCCAGGTGGCAAAGAGAGAGCACACAGGCAGGTTTGTTTTTAAAAATAAAACTGTAAAATCATTGAAACTATTTCTATTAATGAGATTATTGAATTAAAAAGAGGTTTTAAAGCTAATTTACGGCAAGTTTTTTTAGAGCTAATTTGTCAAAGTCTCGATATTTGAAAGAGTTACAGTGAAGTGAGCAAAGGTTAGGGTGATAACAAGGAGGTTACCATTGAAATTAAAAAGAATTGTTTTTGGTTTTTGATTGCTATTATACCAATACATGTTTTGCTATTAACTGTTGGAAACAGGAGAAATCATTTTGATTGATTTTGTTAAAATGCAAATATATTGCATAAAATGTATTTCCCTTGTGCATTGTCCTATTTTTTGAGGCGATGCCTGTCTTATTTTCTATCAAAGACAAACTTATCGGTTGAAGAAAGACATTGTAAGTTAAAACTGCCAGGGGAATGAAAACGTTTTTATCTCCATATAATCCTTGAATTCAACCCTCTGATTATTTCTGATTTAATCGTTTTCTACTTATTTTAATATTTTCTTTGCATTCAGCAATGAGTTTCTTTCATTTTGGATGAAATAGAGACATTATCATATCAGCTTATTGTTTCAAGTTTGGTTATCGTGTAGAAAATGCTACATCAGATCACTGATTATGTGTGGTTGCATGAACTTAACCCTTTTTAAAAGATAGATAACAGGTGACAAACTTCACAGAGCTGAACTGGGCTTTATGGACCTGACCCTGTTTTTCTGAAGCTTGTTGTCTTAGCTTCAACACCGGTTAATAGGCTTTAAGATTAAACTGTTTCCATGTCATCTGTGCTTTTAAGCATGGTGATATCCTTAGCATGGCAATGGCATAAAAACACATAGAAATATGAGCAGAACTTCCTTGAAATGGTGTGTTTTTAATTTGTGTGAGGTTACAACCGCATACTTGTAAAGTTTTTCCAAAATATCCTGTCCCTCCTTGCTATGAGTCTGGATTCGATTGCCATGTCTTTTACAGACTGCAAGCTCCCAAGTATGATAAAAAAAAAAAAAAAAAAACACATTCAACACATTCCTTCTTATGTTTTTCTGAGAATTGGATCTGGAACAGCAGACCCCAGCACTATAAAATATCATGACTGTGTTAAAAACAGGGATTTGGTAAAGGGAGTTTTCTGGAATCCGTATGTGTGTTGAATGTTGAATGGTAGAAGCTGTTATAATATTGGTTTGTACCAAGAGGAGTGCTGCAGTTGAGCTACTCTACTGCACTCCAACAGCAGTAATGAAAGCAGACACATGCTGGCGGCTCACAAGGCCAGCCAGATAGCAGCAGGTCACAAACCCTCTTCATCGCATTAAAAAACAGCCGCCTCTTGCTGATATGACCTGAGATACAGGCAGTTCAGTCCAACATTTCTTTAAGCTTTTGTATTGTCTTGTTTATATTTCTCAAACTGCTAACACTAAGAAATAGGATTAAAACAACAGACATAAACAATAGAGAACAAAAATTTTCTATATTTAGTCAGAGTCAGACTTTTTTAAAACAAATAACAATTATTGATTTTAAACTCCTGCCTCATGTTAAACTGGGCTGTTATTCCACAGCCAGAAAGTTTTATTCAGGAACGCTTTTATAACTGAGCTTCTGTCTGCTTTCTCTTGCTTAGCAGCTTTGGTTGTCATAGCAGGTTTTCAAACAAAATTTAATCAGGGTTCAGATTTATTTCTGTGAAAGGTGTAGTAGAAGGTCCAGAATTACTAAAAGACATAGGATCACAGTCTTTCAATTAGCTTATTTTTGCTCCAGAAATCCCATTTAAAGCAAACAACTGTATTTTTGATAAATAGGTTTAGTGAACAAAACTTAAATCTGACATACTTTCAACATATAAATTGGCACAGAATAAACAAAGCCAATCTAAAGTGCTATAAGATGCATTAATAATCAGAACAACTAAATTAAAACCTACAAATATCCAATAACAGTTAGCACAAATAGACAACTGGGGGGAAATAGGTCAGTCTGCTTTCAATGAGTTATCAAACCGTAGGGTCTCATGCTATTTCTTTTTCCAATTCCTCTTTTTTTAATTTCGTTTTTAGAGTTTTGTGATTTTCAAGTAATACCTTTGCAAGTAGCACCCTCAACCTTAAAAGTGTTGAATCAACTTAAAAACCCATGAATTTACCAAATAGATCCATGCTTGATTTGAATTAGGAGATATAAACATAATGGTATTGTTACTATGCCCTATCAAAACCCTTCCGTATTTTCTAACTTCAACATTTGTTGTCATCTTTGTACCTTAGAACAGGCATCCCCAACCTCGGTCCTCGAGGCCTGCTGTCCTGCAGGTTTTAGAGGTTTCCCTGCTTTAGCACAGCTGATTATAATGATTGCAGTAGACCAAAAGCCTCTTAATCAGCTTTCATTTAAAATCAGCTGTGCTGGAGCAAGGAGACCTCTAAAACCTGCAGGACAGCGGTCCTCGAGGACCAAGGTTGGGGATGCCTGCCTTAGAACATAGACAATTCTTAAATCCCTAAAATATTACTTTGAATTCAGGTGTATTCAGGTTTTGAATTATTACTGTTTTTCTTGGATACAACCCAAGCAACGAGTCTAAAATGCTTAAAAGTAGCTTCACATCATTTGATTCATTTACTCTTAGACTTAGAGACTTACTTAGTTCTAAAAAAGAAAAAAAAGTACTTACTCCTATAAAGGTAAATTAATTTTCTCTCTTGTTAACTGTTTTTACACTGAATGTTCCACAGTCAGTAGAAATGAATGGATGCCCATTTCCTTGTTTAATGACGGTCTGATTTAGGCTTTACTTATAACTTATACCATAGTCTCAACACCAAGCATAACACTGTACGTCCTCATTTGTCTTCGTGTCTGAGCCGGAGTCTTATCTGTCCAAGGTTTTCTGCGACTAAAGTTTGTTTGAATCAGGAAGCCAGTAGCTGGCACAGTTGAGGAAACGGTTAGTAGATACCTGAGCTACTTTTGCCATAGTAGTGTGGAAATTTGCTTCAAAGAGGAGCACCCTTTTGGGAAGTCTCCTCATAGATTATTATGAGTTTTTTTTTTGTCTTGTCTATTCCACCTCACTTGATCTGCTATTACGTACTAGGGATTATACCCTCTCACCCAAGCCCAAATGAATACTCATCTTATATTAATGCGTCCTGCCCATCCTGTTCTATCATGTCAAATGAATGGAATTCCTGGAACATTAGTGGTAGATATGTCAGAGATGCTTTAGAATTTACTTACCGGTATTCATGGTTTGAAAAAAAGTGTGGCTGTTTTGATTGAAAAGAGTAAAAGTTTTTTTCTAAAGAAATTATTAATTAGATTGCGCTGTTTTTTTTCCAAGTGTTTCTTGAGTTATTGATAATAAAATCCTTGCCCAGAGGGGAGTAAAGAGGGGAGTAAAGGTTTTCTATGTTCTTAAGCTAAGTAAAGTTTTTAAAATCAAATCAGGTGAAACACAGAAGCTTTAAGATTTTTAAAATAAAAAAGAAAATAAATCTAGCTTTCATTTAGGAGTCTAAAACAGGTCAATTGTGCAAAACTTAGAGACAGTTTATACATATGTATATATATATATATATATA